ATACATTTAATAATTCGTAAGAAAATGCACATTTTACCATCAAATTCAAAGATGAAGGTCTCCATACAGTTGATGAGGTCTTTGGATCCTTAAAGGTGCTGCACAAAAGCAGCCCTCATGCCAATTAGAGGAATCAGCCATCTTAGAGAAGTATTTAGCTACGTTTAAGAAAGGGAAAACCAGCGGCAAAGATGAACTCCTCTGACCTAAAAACCTAAATTTGAAATTTGGAAGCAAATGTGGTTTTCAGAGAGGAAAATATTGGAATTTTAACAACCCAACATATCAAAGAATCCTATAAATCGTTTCATCGAAGCCATCAAGATGCTAAACAACAAACAGAAAAGCATATACATACCCTCTCAGAGGGGGAAAGAAAGAAAGAGAAAGAAATGGAGAGCCAGAAAGAGAGAGAGACTAACCGGGTTCATGTTGGTAGGTCCTTGAAGATAGTGTTGTGCGCAGAAGCTCTAAAACTCTACGGGTTGATTTTTTAGCAAATGAAGAGTGAGAAAAATAGAACCCGCAACAAGCGAACGAGTTTTAGCAAATGAAGAGCGAGAAAAATAGAACCAGCAACAAGCAAGCGACAAACACAGAAAAAAAAAACAAAAAAAAAAAAACAATGGAAAAAAAACAGGAACGAAATAATGCAAAAACAAACACCAGAATTTACATGGTTCACCCAAAGGGCTACATCCATGGGCATAGCAAATTGAAATCTACTATACAGATGCGAGTTACAACATAGATTTTAAGATACAAAAGGTATCTTAATAATCATCAACAAAACTCAGTTATACAACCCTTTAAACCACTCTCCCATCCGACACCACCTATCATTCTTCCTTCTCTTTACTTTTGGCAACTATTACCAACAACACTTGATAGAGATGCGAAAGAAACAAGAAACCGGTTTTTTCTCCACAAAGGAGATAACTACCCAAAATCTTCATGGAAAACGATTGTCAACAAGAAACAAACATCACATCTCTCCCAATATGAGGCACAGGTAAGCCATTTCTCTCACTAGAAGCTCATTTCTCTCTAGAGGCTCCGTCAGAGTCTCCTCTGTGCAAGAGGCCACAACCTCTCTTTAGAAGAAAGTTGGACTTTCTCATAAGATGACCCAATTAGGGCACAGGTTCTCTCTCCACAATAACCCACTTATAAAAAAAAGCACAAGCAAAAAAAATAGTACACGAGAGGTTCTCCTGCTTTTCTAATAACTTTTGGAAACCTTTATGTTTTCTATCTTGAACCCATGTGCATATTCGAATCCAAATAGAACTTTATCCTTATCCCACCACGAAACATATCCTGAATAATTTAGTTTCCTAAAATACAAGATATTTCACATTCAAAGTAGGAATCCCAATAAAAATAGATACTCTTCGATATCAATATCAATCTCAATAATATAGAATTTCTTTAAGGAGGTAATTTTGGAGATCACCAAATCCAACAATCTCCACCGTAATATCAAAAATCACTTCCTTAAGGAAATACAATATTATTGGGATTGGTATTGATATTGAAGAGTTTCTATGTTTGGGATTCCGAAATATCTTATCTTTAAGGAAACTAAATTATCCGGGATATATTTCTTAGTAGGATAAGAATAGAATTCTATTTGAATTAGAATGGGGACGTAGGTCCGAGATAGAAAAGATAAAAGTTTTCAAAAGTTATGAAAAAAGTAAGAGAGTCTCTCATGTACTACTGTTTTGGTTTGTGCTTTATTTTTATTAAGTAGGTTATTGTAGAGTGAGAAAAAGTATGGGGGTTTTAGGCTCCTACACAGAGAGAGAGGAGCCTCTAAAGATAGAAGTGAGCTTCTAATGATAGAAATAGTTTCCGCATGCCTCACATTGAGAGAGAGGTTTGTTTCTTGTTTAGAAGCGGATCTCATGAAGATTTTGGATGATATGTCATTTATAGAGAGAAAATTGGTCTCTCGTTGCTCTCGCATCTCTATCTGATTTTGTCAGTAATAGTTGTCAGAAGTAAAGAGAATGAAAAACGTCATGTGGTGTTGAACAAGAAAATGGTTTAAAAGGCGGTTCGACTGAGTTTTGTCGATGATTATTAAAATACCTTTTGTATCCCATAATCTGTGATGTAACTATCTCAGTATAGTGGATTTTAATTTGTAAATTCTATATTTTTTTTATTATTTCTTTAATATTTTGTTGTCAATTCTATTTTTCTTGCTACTCATTTGCCAAAAATCAACCTGTCCGGTTTTAGAGCTTCTAAGCACAAGTGCTATCAAAACATGCTTTGGGGTGGAACCAAGTCAGCATGGCAAATGTAAAATTTGAGGTGGAGAAATTCGATGGCAAAAATAATTTTGAAATTTGGCAAATCAATATTCGGGATTTGCTAATCCACCATATAGATAGAGGAACCCTGCAATGTAGAGATGAAAAAATTGGGCAGAAAGTACATATGCGAATTAGGTGATTACACCAAAGCAGAGAAAGGGAGACTTTGGTGGAGGGAGACTTTGGTGGGGGTTAGAGAGAGAGAGTGACTTCAGGGGTTTTACAGAAAAGTGGAGAGAGAGAGAGACAAAGAGAGGGATTTAGGTGGGTTTACAGCAAAGAAGAGAGAGCGTGTGACTTTGGGGGGTTTACTGCAAGCTAGAGAGAGAAAAACTAATTCCCAGAGCAGTGACCTTCTTGGCTGCTGCCTTCTTCTTACTAGCGTTGGACACCATCTTATCTCTCCCCTTTTATCTATATTTGCAATTATCTCTCCCCTTTTTATCCATATTTTCAAATATCAAGCTAATGTTTGAGGAGAAACGCAGAACGGAAGAGCAATGGATGAATGACAACAAGCTAAAGCATCAGACTCTGAAACTCTAATGAACCGAATACCCATTTGAGTAAACAACACAAGGAAGCAATTGCAGGAAGAAATGACAAGAAATCAGAGACGAAGAAAGCCGGTATAAAGCAAAAACAGATGCAAAGAAAATAACGATCAAGAAAAAAATAGATATAGAAGAGAAAGAACCTTTGAAGAGAGAGAAAGATAACACCTTAGAGAGAGAATTCCTTCCAAGTGAAAAATATCTCTGGAAGCGGCTGCTACATCAGGAGATTGAGATTGAGACAGAGAGAGAATGCTTGTGTTCTTTTCTCATAAAGAGAGTTACTCGTGTTCTTTTCTCATAAAGAGAGTTACTTGTACCAGAAGAGGTTATTTTGATGCCCAAATATACTCAAAATTGATCCTCTACACCTCAAAAGATCGTAATGAGAAAAAAAAATTAGATTTTAAAGTTACAAAAAAAAAGTGCATTTTATAATACATTTTTTAACTATTAATTTTTTAATTTTCAAAGATACGATTGATGTACATTATTTTTTTAAGTTTTAAATTTTATAATTAAAAAAAAATATGTTTTAAAAAATATATCTTTTTATTTTCCATTTTTAACTTCCATATCTCCTATTTTTAACTTCCATATATTAAGAGACTCAATAATTGAAAATGTTACTTTTATCCCTTAGTTTTAATTTTCATATATCGTAAGACTCAATAATGGAAAATATTACTTCTAAATAAAAAGTCTTCATCTTTTCCATCTTACAACCCCCTAATCCCCTTTGACTATAAATTTTTTATCCAAACAAATACTAAAATGACACTATGTTCAAACTCTATCTCTTTCTCTCTAAAACCTCATCTCTCTCTTTGCTTCTCGATGAGTTTACCTGCTAAGGGGTTTAGCTTGAGCTCGAATACGAGCACACCTTATGTGTACACGAGCACACTTTATGTGTGAGAGAGAGATGGAGTTTGGGTTTTAAAGAGAGAGATGGAGTTTGAGTTTTAGGGAGATATGGAGTTTGAGTTTTAAAGAGAGATGGAGTTTTGAGAGAGAAAGACGATAATGTGCGAAACAGATGGAGTTTTGAAAGAGAGACGATCATGTGAGAGTGATGGAGTTTTAAAAAGAGAAAAATAAAGTCATTGCATAAGTTGTTGAGATCAACAATACATAATCAAAAATGTTTAGGAGGTTGGAAGATGGAAAAAATGAGTCATTTTGCTTATAATTAATATTTTCGATTTTTTAGTTTACTGAGATATAAAAGTTAAAAATAGAAAATAATAAGATATTTTTTCGATATTTTAAGGCTATCATAAAGATTTCTAGAAACCACATTTCTCGATGCTAAGTGTGTTTTACTTCGAGTGTTTAGAGCCTCGTCTTTATACAAACCCCATCCTTTGAGCATCAAAAGGACATCTTCTAATGAAACTTTTGAAGTACACTCTAATTTAATTGTTCAAATTGTTCAAACCACATCCTTTTGAGCATCAAAAGGATCTCTTCTAGTGAAACTTTTGAAGTACGCTAAAGGACCTCTTCTAGAGAAACTTTTGAAGTACGCTCTAATTGTTTAGAGCCTCGCCCTGAAAAACTTTCTCCTAAATAACGTTGATGGAACAATATATCCCCCAAAGTATTCTTTTTATTCTATTTTCATTACATCTCTTTTTTTTTTATAAAAAGTTTATAGAGAGCCAAAGCTCTAAACAATCAAATGGCCTACCTCAAAAATTTCACTAAAAGAAGTTGTTTTGATATCCAAAAATCTTAAAATTAATCATCTGGACATCAAGATGCACAGACATGAGAAAAATATAGATTTCAAATTGTAAAATTAGCTTATTTTATAATGCATTTTTGGACAGTCAATTTTCAATATTTTCAAATTTTTATAGATCTGTCTATCTATATTATATTTGAAACTTTAAACTTTATAAATCAAGATAAAATATATTTTAAGGCTATCACAAAGCTTTTCAATATTAAAACCACATTTCTCGACACTTATTGAAGGTAAGCTCTAATTTGATTGTTTAGAGCCTAAGACCCTTTTTCTTTTTGATACAGTGGACCACGGATCAAACTCGCCGAGTCGGGCGATCCAACTCAAAATGACACACGTATCAGGTCCGATTTTTAACAAGAGACATCTCGTCAATGTACCATCCTTTATAAAGTAGGCTACTAAATTTTCCACAATATGTACCTCACAACCTTGATTACATACATCACAAAGAGAGATCACGCAAAGAGCGCGTGAGAGCTCTTCAAACAACCAACACCCCAACACTTCTCTGGCATTATTCTACCCAAGAACCTCTTCTTATAACCATTCCATTCGATCTGACACCCGAATCAAGGCGGCCATCACCAAGCCGCTATCATCTTCGGTGTCCAAGCCCGCCACCCCAACCTTGCACCCTCGTCATTCTCCGGAACCTCCCCCCTCTTTGAACCCGCCACACGTTTCTTCTTACTGGGCAAAGCAACAAGCGCTGCTCTCACAGGCAATTGAGGACTCCCAACCATCTCTGAACTCTCAATGATTTGCCTTACCATCTCACCCACCTCACTCATCTTAGGCCTAGACCTCACGTTCTTAACTAAGCACTTGGAGGCCACAACAGCAAGCCTATAGGCAGACCTGACGGGGACCTCAGCACTGAGACGTGGGTCCAGTATCATGCGAAACTTGCGAATATCTGACATGTAGGGCTTGACCCACTCAAGGAGCTTTTGCTCACTCTTGGGCCTGTTACGGTCCAAGGGGCGCCTGCCCGTTATTAGCTCGTAGAGGACGACCCCATAGCTCCACACGTCGCTCTTAGCAGTAAGTCGACCAGTCTGAATGTACTCTGGGGCTGCATACCCCACTGTCCCCACGACCTGGTAGAGTGAGAGTGAGTGAAACATCATTAGAGAGAGAGAATGGATTGCATCTGAGAGCCTGCATTACAGGTGTTGTATGTATTTAGGTTTTGGTGTGTTCCATGAACGAACATATCCAACTGACACTGTTGGCAGCCTGGTAGATAGATCTAGAAAGATTAGAGAGACATAGATAGACAAAATAGTTTGCATCTGAGACTCTACTTTGTGGGGATGTTAGGTGTCATGGCTTTTCGAGATTCATGACTCAATGTACCCTATGAGAAAAGAGAGAACTATGGTTAGGGAAAGAAGCAAATTGCATGGTGTTGTATTGGTGGATTTTTGTGGGTTCCATGAATCAATATATCCACTAGGCATTTCAATAATCTGCAATACAGCAGTGCTTCAACACCATGCCAAATCACAGCCACCAAATTCAGCCTGATCATCTTCTAAATACTACGCATATGTCAAAACTTGCAAATTAAACATTTCTTTCCATAACATTCAAATACCATTTGCAAGTTTTGATACACATCGCATAAGAGGATCTCTTGATGCTTCATAACTTCATTACTACCAAAAATGCCACTAAGTTCAGAACATTGCAACCAATTTTTACGTTCAGCAACACCAAGAAACCAATTTCAGAAATATACTACTAGACAATGACAGTTAATCAACAGGTATTCAGCTCGCAGCAATCTGGCTGCTTCATTGCATGCCCATGCCGAACAAGACAAAGAGGCTTAGGAGACTTTTAGTAGATAGAAACACCGTACAACAATTAACAAAAACGTCCATAATGAAAATAGTTTCTTGGAAGTTAGATATACCAAAATTAAGAACGCATTATTTCTTAAAAGACATACCGCTGTTGAAACATGAGTAACACCTTCGGATGGACCCTGTCTAGCCAACCCAAAATCGGAGAGCTTGGCATTGAAATTCTTGTCCAAAAGTATGTTTGAGGGCTTAAAATCTCTGAAAATAATCTGATCCACAATAACACAGAGATGATGGTCATCAAACACAGAGACAGCAAACAGTAAAAGAAAGTTCTTATGCATACATTCAAGCTACCAATTTAATTAAGCACTTGGCATAGTAGGTAAACAGCTAACATTGAAGGGAAAAGTTTACATAAGGTTGCAACCTTAAAATGTAGAACAACGAATGCACCTCAAAAATCCATCAGAAAAGGTTGTTTTAATATTGAAAAACCCTCTAATTGATCATCTCGACATTGAGATGAATCACTATGAAAAAAAAAAGGTTTTTGAGCCCAAAAAATGGTGCATCTTACAACACATTATCTAGACTGTCCATTTTCAAGATTTTCATATATTTATAAATCTACTTGATTTTAGTCATTTTTAGAGTTTAAAATTGATAATTAGATATGAAAATAGATTTTGAGATAATCTTAAGAATATTTTACATCAAAATTATATGTTATGATAAAATTTGAAGGTGCACCTAAAATGGATTGTTTAAGGTTGCAACCTTATGGAAACCACACCCAACATTGAATTGATTCTTCAGGTTGCAGGTTTGAATCCATCAGGTACAATTAGATAAACAAAGAATCCCAAATACACTGGATCAAGGCAATAGAGAAACAGGTGAAATATTTCATATAGAGTTCACAAACATACATAACAGCTTTCTCCTTTACAGAACCCAAAGTGGGAGAAAGTTTTACTGCAATCTCATACAGGAGGTATTGGCTTAGCGACAACAGCACATACCAACGAAATGGTAACCACTATTCTTGTTTTGTGATTAAAATGGTTCACGCTAAGCTAAATGAAAAAGGAGATCCTGCAAGGAGCATCTTCAGTGCTTAAACAGTAACTGCAACAATATAAGTTTTTTCCTTGTTGCGTAAGGATGAATATGGCAATATCAACCAAGAACAGCCATCATAAAGTATTGAATCATATCAGCATGGGCTGCCCAAGTATCAAAACCAAGAAGAAATCCTTTGCCATGAGTGAATTTTCATCTAAGCCAACAAGACCTCGGATGACATTTTAGTGATTGTATATCAAGTACAGCTTTACTTGCTAACCTTACTCCAAACACCATTAATCAATTTTTTTTTTAATTATTTAATACCATTAATTGGTTTTCAACATCAGTTATACCCAATGCTAATAAAAAATGAATTAGCTTAAATCAAGGACACTTTGAAATGTAAGAGACGACTTCCAAATTGGAAGGCAAAGACTGAACGCAGTATTCTGTTCATTGTCCTTCGTAGCTCTGGAATAAGAGAGGCCTAAGCCACAAACCCCATTATCGTCTGATTAATATCATCTAGTTGCTGCAAAGAAACAGCAATCACAGGATGGACCCAGTTTAGTCACAAAGTTGCACATGGAGTATTTCAAGTACATAAAGTAAAGAATATTTCCTTTGTAGTTTAAGCAGTAGACATTCTCATGCATGCACAAATCTGAGGTGCATGCCAATATGAAGGAAGAGCACCTGAAGTGAGGTTACAATATAAAGGAGAAGTCCGTTCATTGATACTCAGAAATTCAGTTTTGCAATACCCAAAAGATTAACAAAAAGAAAAATCAATTCCATTTTCCGCTCTTCTCAAGTCTTTGAAGAATGGCTGTATCTCTCTTCAAAGAGTCATCTAGGTCCATAGATGATAACAGATAAGACCTTCAACTCATTAAAACTGCCAAGGGCCTCCCTTTTGATATGTAGCTAAAAGAATGCCATTAACAATCTGTAGATTTCTATATTCAGGATAACTACCAATAACCATTTCTGGATGCAGATGGGGAACAGTGTCACGAGTAAGCAATACAGGCAATCTAAAACAGTTTATTGGTGTTGTTTTGAACATACATGCACTTTCTATTTTAAAATGACATTTTCTTAGTGATCCCACAGTCCACATACAAAAATCAAACTGAATCATGCTAAATAAGTAATGCACAAACATTGCTTATTTAAAAAAATTAAAACATATTCGAAGGTGCAGTAGTGCGGAAAACCACTACACTGATGAATCAACTTTATCCTCGTCGTGAGTAAGTACAAACAAATAAAAGTGACAGACATTGTTTACCCAAAAATAAAAGTGATATACACAAATTACCTGAAAATCCATTTCTTCATGGAGATAGGTAAGACCCCGAGCTGCATCAAGGGCAATCCGCAGCCTCATGGCCCATGAAAGAGGCACAGATGATCGAGTTGATAGATGATCCTCCACACTTCCATTGGGCATAAATTCATAAACTAATAACCTTTGGATTCCCCTTTCATCATCTTCGGCACAATAGCCAACTAATTTTACAAGATTGGGATGCTCGACCACACCAAGAACATTCACCTCTGTTACCCATTCTTTATGGCCCTGCACAAAGAATGCAATGATATGCAAAGAGGAAATAAACTAACAAAGTGTGCACGCAGCACCCATGTCTAATGTAAATGTTCAGCAAAAAAAGCATGGGGTTCTGTATTTTCGTCAGAAGTGGGACAGTCTTCAACCAAAACAAAGTTTTGCTAAGATCTAAAAATTTAGTAACTTCTTCGGGATGTCTTATCTCCAAACACCATAAAAGATGTTGATGAAAACAGTGAAGTAGTAAAAAGGAATTACTAATAGAATAATGAAATAAGAAAGAATAAGAATATCTGCTAAGAAGCACAATCTTTTCCATTAGTGGAGAATCACAAGAAATTAAACTACTTCATTAACAACGACTTGTTAAAGGATGAAGATTAGATTATACACTCAACACAAGAAAAAAATATTTGTAGACTAGGGTACCCCCACCCACAAATAATTAAGTAGCAGGGAAGTTTGTTTTGTTTTCCTTTAGCACTCTCTGTCTATCTTCAATTGTCATTTTTTTCATGGTATCAGTTGTTTAATTTCCTTTCAAAATTCTCCAGAAGAGGAGGAAACACCCATTTTTCACTTCTTAGGATTCCTATGGAGCGCAACAGGAAAGTAAGAACCGTAGAAAGCGAAAGCATAAACTAACAAATGCCACAAAAACCATACTAAAATGCAGAGAGAGAGAGAGAGAGAGAATACCTGTAAACCTTTCTTGCTCAATTGCTTCACAGCTATCTCAATCTTTGAACTGGGCTCCTGAGGGTTCCTGATTGATCCCCTATATACGCACCCAAACCCACCTTCACCGATCATGGCCGACCGACTGAAATTCCTTGTCGCAGTCCTCAATTCTGAGAAAGTGAAAACCCTCAAATTGTTCGACCTGTGAGAGGAAGAGCTCGAAAACGTTCTCCTCCCTAATGAATCAACACTCGTGTCAAATACATTTTGAGAATTGAATTCCGAACCCGAACGCCTAACTTCTCGATCATTTGAACTCGCACTGAAAGAACGAGCCCTCAAAGATTTCGCGGTCTTGGGTTCTTCTTTTTTCTCACCATTAGAGAAGTAAAAGCACCTCATGTCTCGCAAGCTCAACTCAAAACCTCTGAAACAAATCTGAAAAACCTCTAGATTAAACCCCAAACGCAATATAGTTCGCCAAATGTCTTGCTCCTTCCGTGGTATCTTCGATGTGTAGTTTTGTTCATGCAGTAAAACTAGCTGAAATGCTCGCACGACAGTTACACCATGGTGGTGAATACGCGCGATTTGTTTAAGAAAATAGCCATGAAACCAATGCGTCTAAATCACTGGAAGTGATTTTGAAGGGGAAAAACCAAAAACAAAAAAAAAGGAAAGAGAACTTGAATTTTACAAACAAAATTTCCAGAGCAGGAATAAATACATAAGATTCAAATCCACTCTGCAACCAAAGAGGGAGAGAGATCTACACTAAAAAGAGAAAAAACACAGAATTCAAAATTGCGGCACTATAACCCAAAGCTCTCCAAGAAACCTACACAAAATTGGTAAAGAGAATCAAACCGTGAAAACAAAAACCCTAAATCGTTAAAACTCCACCATATGTCCAGAAAATGCAGAAACCAGAGAAAGAAATTAGAAGAGAAAAAAACCCCATAAATTGTTCAAAACCCTAGAATTTGAAACCTGAGCTGGCGAGTAGGCTCAAAACCCTAAAATTGTTTATTCATCGTATTTTGAAAGTGGTGGGCATGTCCAATGCAACGTGTGAAGCGGTCAAAATCGAGGAAGATGAAGATTGGATTACCAACCAGAGACATGGATTTTGAACAATGTCAATAATACCCTCCGACTTTCGACAAAATAACGTGAGGCAACCTCACCAATTTGGCGGATAATTTCTCTCTCCAACATTTTTCAAGGGAAAAGTTTTTAGAGAGCCGAGGCTCTAAACAATTAAATTAGAGCCTACCTCAAAAATTTCACTAGAAAATGTTGTTTTGATGCTCAAATATCATCAAATTTAAGTTGTTTTGATGCTCAAATATCGTCAGATTGATCATTTCGACATCAAGTTGTTGGGACAAGAGAAAAAAATGGATTTCAAGTTTTGAAAATAGTACATCTTGTAATACATTTTTAGCCTGTAATTTTTTAGGTTTTCATAGGTCTGCTCGATCTACGTTATTTTTTAAACTTTAAATTTTATAATTAAAGATAAAAATATAGTTTAAGGCTATCAAAAAGACTTTTAGTATTGAAACTATATTTTTCGACACTATTTGAACAATATTTGAATGTACACTTTATTTTGATTGTTTAGATTGTTTGGAGCCTTGGTTCTATACAAACCGGCCCGCTAAATTTCATCGACACTTTTGGACGAGGAAATGGATTTCATCGACATTTGTTTTTCACTCTTTAACATTCTGCCTACATGGAACTAATCCCAACTGGGAAAATGTTTTGACAAGGCTGCAGCCTATGAAAACCTCACCTCAAACTCTTTAAATTTGTAGTTTTGATTTTGAAAAATCTTCAAATAAATTATCTTGGCATTTTATTATGTAATTGTGATTTCAAGCTTTAAAATAGTATACATTGTAACATATTATCTAAATTGTCCATTTCATCATAAAAATAAGTATTTATGATTCACAAGATCTGTAGCATTTTTTTAGATTCAAATTTTATAATCGGTATTGGAAATTGATTTTTGAGCCATCTTGGAGATTTCTAATGCCTAAAGTGCTTTATAAACAAGGATTCGAGATGAGGTTGTACTTTGTTTTTATAATGCCTGGGCTTTACAAAAACTGCATCCAACAAATTGAAGACCATTTTTGAGTGTGTATATTATGTTTCCTTAGGAGCATATTTTATTTCTACTCTTTCAATATATGATGTTTCCTCGAGAGTATATTTTATTTTCACTCCTTTGCTTAGAATACCTACTTGAGAGGATTTTTTCAATCCAAAATTTTAAAAACGACTTAAGAATTACTAGATGATTATATTTACAAAAAAAAAAAAAATTGAAATTTGATTTTTCTAATACTTAGATCTGACCACCTAAACAATAGATGACCACTATTCAATCTCAAGATATTATTCTTTTCAAGTGCATAAAGAGTATAACTAGGAAAACAATTCCATTGAAGAGTTTACATTCAAATTTTGGGGTTCTAAGATTATTTTTATATGAGATTTTACTCGAGGGAGTAAATAGACATTCTACCCTTTGAATATCATTTGGCATAATATATAACAACTCCTAAATGGTTCTTTTATTTTATACCGGTGGGTGTGGGGCCATCTAAAAAATGCTAGGGGTGGCAACAAGCTAGCCTTGGCCCTAGCCCAACTCTTGACCTTCTAAAGCCTGTTTTGACCCAATTAGGGCCGGGCAGGCCAAAACAAATAAAATAATAAAAAAGCCGGGTTAGGATGAAGTATGCCAGTAGTGGCGCTAACCCGGCCCATGGCTTACCATTAATGGCCGAGGCCCTATTTTTTAGGGCCGGGCCTATTGCCCGCTCTCTCCCTCTATGGGAGGCTACCTTGAGCCTCTATCTAGAGAGATTCCTCCAACGACCAGCTAGATAGACTTTCTCTCTCCTAAGCTTTTTTTTTTTTTCTTAATAACTTTTTCCCTCCATTCACATTAAGGAACTTACCCCATGGCCACATCTCTCCCTTTCATTACCAACATGGGCCCATCTCTCTCTCATCCCCATCTCCCTCTTCCATCTCTCTTTTGGAAAATTGTTTCATGCGTGGCTCGACCGCATTTCTACATATGCCGTCCAAAAAATGTAAAGCGTCCATCTTAAAGATGGATGTAAGTAAGTGTTCTATTTTAAAAACAATAAAAAGTAGTGCTAATGGTCTAAATGTGTTTTTATTAGAATTATTATTTATAGTTTTTCAAAAATTATTTATTTATTCATATTCATGATCTCCATAGAGATTACATATTTTTAAAATTTAAGTCTTAAAATCCACCTCAAAAATAAATTTATTAAGAAGCCCGCAATTCTACATATGTCAGCTTCATCACGTAGAAACCGGATCCCACTCTTTTCCCCCAAAACAATCTCTCTCTATCTCGACCCCCAATGTCCCATCTCTTTCTCACCTAGGTCCCCATCCCCCCTTCTCTAGGGGTTAAATCTATCTTAATTTTCTTTGTATAAAGGTCCACCTCAAGAATACGAAAATCACCATAAATGTTGATATCAAGTTATCAACTTCCTGATTTATTAGAGGTTTTTAATCTAAGCTATTCTTCCATTTTATTCCAGATTTTTTAGCACAAATTTGTAATAATATGACGACGATAGAAAAAGATTAGTGTTTGCCTGCGCTTCATGAACATAAAGTAACGTGCAGATCTCGCAAGAAAAAAAGAGTTCAAACCCTAAAAATAGTTTATCTTGGAATACATGATCTGGATCACCTATTAAACAGTGCATGACCTACTTGGGAGGATTTTTTCAATTTGAAATTTTGGTAACCAACTTAGAATCACTAATGATTAATCTTGAAAAAACAAATAATTGAAATTTGAGTTTTTTTAACGCTTAGATCTCACTCTTTAAAAATTTGACTGTTTCTATTCAATCTTGAGAAATTATTTCTTTCAAGTGCTTGGATGGTGCAATTAGAAAAAAGAATAAAATTGTTGAGGTTAATCTATGTGTAAATAGGTTATATTCCCAAAATTTGGGATCCTAAAACTAGTCCTTGGTGGGGTTTTAACCGACGGAGTAAATGGACAGTTTACTCTCGAGGGAGTAGAATATCTTTGGATAACTATATTGTTTGTGTTGTGTTGTGTCATAACTCACAAAATACATTGGGGATCTAAAATGAGGTTGCAAATCAAGAAAATAGATCATATTAAAATTCATTAATCATGGTGTATAAGAAACTAGCTTAATGAAGTTAAGGTTAGTACCCATAAGTGCTGATAGCACTCCACATACTGGTCACCACGTTGTAGTTTATATTTTCACCAATACCACTCCATTAACACTTTAAAAAAACTAACTCCTAAATTATTTGAACGAATGGGCAGGGATTGTATTCCAAACTGAATTACCCAAAATAATAAACTATTTGAACAAATGGGAGGGGGGGGGACCTTGGGGTTGCAAACTAGTGAAGCAACCATTGGTATTTATGTATACGTTGCCGTATTTGGATTTCTATTAAGGAAATGATTTTTCACCTAAATTTACTTGGAAATAGTTCTTCACTTTTATAAACTCCTTAACACTTAACTTCTCCAGTATTACCTTTGCTTTGAAAGGTGTTTCTAAAACTACTAATTCTACGATCAAGATTCAAGACCAAAATAAGCCAACACAACCATAAAAATCTAAAGATGATCAATTATATAACCAAATAAGGAAACATAGATAATTCATCTCATTTTCATCATTAAAGTTTTTTTTCAATTAATTAGGGTCGGCTACACGAATCTTGATCTGCATTTCTGTTCTATTGAGGGCCATAATGGATAATTCATCTATGCATTCTTTAGGGCAAAACTTGATTTAAAACCCTGAACTAGGTGTTGGAGAGACCCACCAGTGTATAGGTCCGGATTGCCAATTCTCTTGGGTTAAAAAATAGTAAAATATAGAAAATTTTTAAAATAATATTAAAAATTCAATTATTAAGAGGACTACCTAACTTGCCCAATCTGAGTCATGATTCACGATTCGAAGCCCTTAATTCTTTGATTGAACCGGGTGATTCGATTCCAATCATACGGACTTTCGATTCCCAAATTTGTAAGGGAATGAGCTCGGATAACTACCCATTCCCAATCCAAATCCACGATCCCTATCTAGATCGACAATTTTTAAAACCCTCGAGAAAAATAACTTGCTCAGACTAGTTGATTTGATTGGTACTCACTCATATTGGAACGTTTAGCCAATTTGGTCGATGGCCACAACCAAGTTCATGCTGAGCAAGTGGGTGGTGGTTGGCAAAATTCAAATGCATAAAAAGGAGAAAGCATGTGGAGCCATGTTATCACTGCTTTCATTTAATGCAGAAGATGTGTGTGTGAGAGGTGTAGCTCAAGCAGAATGACTCAAAACGGCTTATAAAGACATCTATTTTCAAATATTCCAATTTTCAACAATAATATTTAAATTTAGGGAAAATATCTTCATACTCTCTATTTTTAAGTTTTATATCTCAATAAACCTAAAGTTTCAAAACATATCTTGAGCCATAAAAATTTTAAGTTTTATATCTTTTAACCCGTCTAAGTTAACTCTATCCCCTTTAAATATATTTTTTTACCCCAAATAAATATAAGAAAGACATATCCTTTCTAAACACTATCATTTCTCTCTCTTCGTATGATTTTCCCATAAATCTCCCTCTCCCTCCGTGTCTCTTACTCTCTCTCTCCCCCGTTAGAGAGACGAAAAGGGTGAATGTTAGAGAGAGAAATTTGGAGGGAATATATCATGTAAAGAGATGAAGGGTGTAGAATGAGCATGTCTTTTTTATATTTATTAGGGCTAAAAAAATAATTAAAAATAGGTAAAGTTAGTCAAGGGGTTGGGAGATATATTTTAAATCTTTGAGTCTATTGAGATATAAAAACCAAAAATAAGGGATACGAGGATATTTCTCCTTCAATTTATTGTACATAGAAAGGTGTGGTTTTACCAAATTTAGTAAAGCTACACCACAAAACCATATTAGAAATGCGGGTTTACAAATTTTGTTAAGGCCATGTCACAAAATCACGTTAGGAAATATAGTTCCAATCCCAAATGTT